AGTTAAGAACAGAGCTGATTGTAGCAAAATTCAAGTTAAATACACAAGGGTTCGAGTTAAATACACAAGGGTTCAAGTTCATTACACAATACTACTTATACGGTATTATACAATAATACCGTTCCAGCTTACATACAGATTTGACTTAAGGACAGACCTTGGGAACGGAACTCATTCTTAAACTGGGGACTACCTGTATTATAAACATTGTATACGTTCTCTTATATATTATTATTTTGCAAGCTATTCTTTTTCCTGATGTTTATTTTGTTTCCAAGAATTGGCAAAATCATGTCCATTTAGGGCCTGGAATTTTATTGCATATCCAAAACCACCGAAAAGGAGTAAGGAAATCCTTACAACTTCTTTGTATCTCCATGCAAATGTGGCACCCCCTTGAGCAATTGTATCTGGCTTCGACTCAACACCTCTATTTGGTCTTTAAAAACAAACCAGAGTCCAACAAGCCTCTTCAAACCTTGCTTTCTAATGTTGCTGGTCCTGCTTTCTTGGCAAGAAACTTCAGGAGAAATGGTTTTGGCCATGGATTCAGTTTGAGGATGACTGAAGCTTTCCAAAAGCATTATCTCCCAAATGATTGCTGGATTCTGAAGTTTTCCTAATTCCAGTATTGAATGCTTCCATGCAAGGGGAGGCAGGGAGGAAGAAAAGTGTTTTTTTTAAGGTTTTGGCTTTGCCATTTTACTTCATCTCACGAAACTGAAGTTCCTTTCTACAGTCTTGTGGTATAGAGTAAAGGGGAAGCCACCCAGAAGTCAAGAAAAAAAAAAGTTTCTTCAGTCTACAAATTCGAACTTCTCAAACGTTTACCACTGAAACCAGTAATAATAAATAATATGGGGCTATGCAGAACATTTGCTCAATTTTTCCTCTTATCCAAAGAGAGTTGCAGGAACAACACTGCTGCTGAATATCCATGTCATCTAATTTATTGCACTGGTTTCACTCGCTAACTTGGTTCCATTTCCTTGTTCATTCCTTCATTAGATTTATGTCCAATTTTCCTTCAAAGGCTCAAGGCGAGTGTACAGAGTCCAAGTTTTTCCCCATAGCTACCATGTGAGGCAGTTTGGGCTAAGAAATAGTGAAGGGTCTATAGTCACAGAATGATCCTAGGTAATTAGGAATCACAGACGCTCTTTTCAAGCATTCAGAGATGCTATCTCCTGCACTCTGTGAATGCATTTGGTCAAGTTACAAATGCAGAGAAATCCAAGATACATGGGGTATGACCTGTCACCGTCTCCCTTCCACGGGAGATGTTACAATGCTGTAGCGCGTACAGTAATACCATGACCCAAGAGAGAGATTCAGGTTTGGCTCTGTGATGACATTCCTGGGCAAATGAAATTGATTTAAAGAAAGTATAGATTTCTGAGGTTTGTCTCATGTATGAATTAGACATTTCCCCTTATTTTGTTTATTTATTAATGTTCTAATCATGGAATCACAGGATTGTGGAGTTGGAAGGGATCATGAGAATCTTCTAGTCCAAATCTCTGCATTGTGCAGGAAATCCAATTGAACCATCCCTAGAGGAGGCTATCCAGCCTCTTAAAACCTCCAGAGAGGAAAAACCCAAGGTATATTATTCTACTATGGTACACATTTTACTGTCAGGAAGATTTTCCTTATATTTAAGCAAAATCTAGATAGTTGCAACATGCCCATTATTTCTGGTCCTGGTTTATTTTATTATTTAGATTATTGAAAATCTAGACCAGTGTTTCTCAACTTTGGCAACTTTAAGATGTGTGGACTTCAACTCCCAGAATTCTGGGAATTGAAGTCCACACATCTTAAAGTTGCCAAGGTTGAGAAACACTGGTCTAGCCTGACAGAGCAAGGGAAAGGATTGGGAAAACCATGCATGATGAGTCAGTTTGGAGATTACTGAATCTATTCTGTACTTTCCCAAACTGGTGTCCTCCAGATGTGTTGGCCAGGACGTCTGTTGATTATGAAAACCTAAGTCCAACATAACTGAAAGACACCAGGTTGAAGAGAGAAATTTTGTGTAACAAAGATACATGTTTTCTAATGCTATATACATACAGACATACAAATATACATACAGACAGCTAGACAGAAAGATGAGAGAGAGAGAGAGAGAGAGAGAGAGAGATGAAAGATAGTTGATTGATAGATGAGTCAGCACTTCAAGGAAGACCAGGTCTCACCAGGAATCATTCAGCTTGAATAAGATTTTTTTTTTTATCTTGATGTACATTATACCTCAAAAAATAAAAAAAGGCAGGGGGAGAACTTGATATTAGTGAGGTCCCTCACTGGAACACTGTCACCTTATGGGACATTATTGGTGGTGACCCCTGTTTTTTGGAACAATCTACCCTTGATATATGGTTGGCCCTGCCCCTGCAGGCCTTTGGAAGGGCTGTTGACCTGGCTCTTTCTCTGGGTGCTTGGATCAGGTCAACTGGAATCCCAGTCAGGTGAGTTACAGTATATTTTAGTTTGGTCACCGTTCCACTGCTTTATTATTTTATTATTTGGTGCCTTTGAGTCAGTGTTGACTCCTGGTGACTACCTGGACAAGTCCCTCTAGTTTTCTTGGCAAGATTTCAGAAGTGGCTTGCCATTGCCTTCTTCCTAGGGCTGAGACAGGCTGACTGGCCCAAGGTCACCCAGCTGGCTTGGTGCCTAAGGCAGGACAGGAACTCATGGTCTCCTGGTTTCTAGCCTGATGCCTTAATCACTACACAAACTGCCTCTCTTTACTGTTTTAGTTGGTTTTAATGCACTGTATGGTTTTCCTTGTGTTGCGTTTTTTGTTTTCTTTTATGCCACTCAGAGTCACAGAGTTTGATTTGAGCAGCCATATAAATGTTATAAATCAATAAATATGACAACAGCTCTAGTTGGGTTTATCCTGATGTATTTATATGCCTGGTCCTGGTTTATTTGGCCATTGAAAATCTAGACCAGTATTTCTCAACCTTGGCAACTTTAAGATGTGTGGACTTCAACTCCCAGAATTCTGGGAATCGAAGTCCACACATCTTAAAGTTGCCAAGGTTGAAAAACATGGTCTAGACTGAAAGAGCAAGGGAAAGGATGGGGAAAACCATGCATGATGTTTGGAGACCACTGAATCTATTCTGTACTTTCCCGGACTGATTCCCAAACATATAACTGAGCAAACTGAGCAAACTCAGGGAGGCAGTGAAGGACAGGAAGGCCTGGCGCAATATGGTTCTTGGGGTCACGGAGGGTCTGACACGACTTAACGACTGAACAACAACAAAATTTATATGCCTTAAACCTGGGTTTAAAAAAGGCAGCAGTGTGTGTAAACAGACTGCATCAAATTTGCTGAACACTAATAGTAATATCAGTATTTATTTGTTATGTAGCAAATGTAAAACAATGTCAAGGTAGGAAAGGAACAGAAACGGATGTTAAGCTTCCTGTACAAACTGCTAAATATAAATCCGCTAAATCCGCAGAGTCACTCATGCCCTGGTCACCTCCGGGTTGGACTACTGTAATGCGCTCTACAT